TGTTGCTAGCTTTCCAACAAACTTGGTTTCATCGAATTCGAAGCTCATATGCGAAAGTTGTGGCTGTTTTGATATTGCCTGTTTTACATAGAGAGGTTGTACCGCCCCGTAGAGAGGTTGTACCGGTTGACCGATACAACCGGTGTTTGGAGCGGTTGTACCGCTCGAGAATTGGTCCGGAGGTTGTACCGGCCATGTACCGCTCTACCACCGGACTAGTTTCTGTTTTGGATCTGTTCTTGGGCGGTTGTTGACCGGTTTTACCGGTTTAACCGGTACTACCTGTTCCCCAGGCTGTTGTACCACTTAGAGCTTTTTCCAGGTTGGTTTTTCCTCTGCTTTGGCCGGTTGTATCGGTTCGTGCACCGGTTGTACCGGTCCTACAGCTTTCTGCACATAACGGGCAGATTCGTGGGGACCTATTTAAGGGGGTCTTCTTCCCCAATGGTTCCTTATCTCTTGAGCTCGTTTTTGCCCCCATTGTTGACCTTCTTCGAGCTTGCTAACTCTCAATCCCTCCATGGATTCTTGCTAGTTTTTGAGGGAAAAGAGAGAGGAGATCTAGATCCACATTTCCACCAATCACTTCCTCGTCTATGTGAGGGGAACACCTTGGATCTAGTTCTTGGAGTTCTTGGTGTTCTCCTTCTTGTTCTTCCTCTCATTTTCCTCCCTAGCACTAGTTGCTTCGGTGGGATTTGAGAGAGAAGGACTTGGGCACTCCGTGTGCCCTTGCCATTGCATTTGGTGCATCGGTTTGAGTTCTCCACGGTGATACATGGAAGTTACAAGTTGAGAAGCTTATTACTCTTGGGTGCTTGGTGCCCTTGAGCTTGTTCCTCTTGGGTGCTTGGGTGCCCTAGACGGTTGGTGGTGTTCGGAGCTCAATCATTGTGGTGCAAAGCTCCGGGCAAGCGTCGGAGTCTCCAATTAGGTTGTGGAGATCGCCCCGAGCAATTTGACGGGTACCGGTGACCGCCCCCAAGGGTTGCCAAAGTGTACGGGTTCGGTGACCGCCCCCAAGGGTCGCCATTTGTACGGGTTCGGTGACCGCCCTCAAGGGTCCCTTAGTGGAATCACGGCATCTTGCATTGTGCGAGGGCGTGAGGAGATTACGGTGGCCCTAGTGGCTTGTTGGGGAGCATTGTGCCTCCACACCGCTCCAAACGGAGATTAGCATCCGCAAGGGTGTGAACTTCGGGATACATCATCGTCTCCGCGTGCCTCGGTTATCTCTTACCCGAGCCCTTTACTTATGCACTTTACTTTGTGATAGCCATTTTGTTCCTTGTCATATATCTTGCTATCACATAGTTGCTTATCTTGCTTAGCATAAGTTGTTGGTGCACATAGGTGAGCCTAGTTGTTGTAAGGTTTTGTGCTTGACAAATTAACCGCTAGGTTTATTCCGCATTTGTTCAAGCCTCTACCGTAATTATTTTAAAACGCCTATTCACCCCCCCTCTAGGCGACATCCACGATCTTTCAACGGGGAAACCCTTTTTTGAAAAAAATCACGTGGCACTTATTTTTGCCCGTTGTAGCTAAAGATAGGGATTAGCCATGCATGGGATTAATCAGACATGGGATTAGAGTTGTTTGGATGGTCACCTACCTCCGAGTTCGCTCTCGCCAAGTTCCAGTGCCTCTTTTTTTCCCCTCGTTTTCTTTTTTTCTTAATCTTTTTTGGGTTTTCATTCGGTTTTCCATCATTGGATGAGAATGTTAAGTTTTCAGGTTTGTTTTTTCTTATAAACTGGATCAACTCTCTTTTTCTTAATGAAATGCAGGACCTCGTGCCAATCTCTCAAGGTGTTCTAAAAAAGACCTATCACACTCCGACTTGGGCGCCATTGCATCCCGCCGTACCTTTGGGGGCGACGGAACGTGAGCAATGGGATGAATTGCTCTCGTGTATCGCTCTGCAACCCCCTTCTCTTGAGCCTGATGTGCCCTCGTGGCACCTTGAACCTAGTGGTCGGTTCTCAACTAGGTCCCTTTACCAGGCGATTGTCCCCTCGCCGGGACCAGTTGAGCTGGCGGTTCTTTGGGAAATAAAACTCCCATTGAAGGTCCGTATTTTTCTTTGGCAATGGGTACGTGGTCGCTTACCTTTGGGTACGGAAATCCAGAAGCGTAACGGACCTGGGAACGGTCTGTGCCCCATCTGTTTGGTCCCAGAAGACTGCAACCACATCTTTTTCGGTGTCTGGCGGCTCAATTCCCGTGGAGTTGTTTCAGGGAGGTGGTTGGTGGCAACTGGTGCCACGACAACCTCCCGGACCTCTTTGAGGAGGTCCTTAGTTTACCCGGTCCCAGGCGTCCACCCATCTGGGTGGCACTGGGCACCCTAGCCTGGACGTTATGGTGTTGCCACAATAAACTTGTCATCGAACGTGTGATTCCATGTCGTGTGACTGATGCAATCTACAAAATGTGTGGCTTCTTACAGCTTTGGAGACCGCTTAGCAAGCAGCGGGACCACGACATCATCAACAACTTCATTTCTGGTCTCTGTTCCTTGGCCTCGGCTTTTGCCCCACCACCACCTCCGCCGCCTCCTCCTCCCGAGCCGGATTAGCCTTTTTTAGCTTTATTTGGGGCTTGTCTCGCTGTGCCCCCAACATGACTTTATGACTTAATTGCACTATGTACTGACTTGTTGGATGCTTGGTTCATTGCTTTATAATATAAAGCGGGGGAAAACCCTTTTTCATAAAATCTTCATTGCTTTCAACACGGCCCAGATGCTAGCCTACCGCAAAAAAAAAAAAAAAACCACGAGCATGTGGCTCCAATTGCACCCCGCGCCATGTCTAGTTTTTTTTTCGAAAGGAGGTACACGGTATGCATAGTGCTAGCGTGAGTGTTTTGTATATGAATTATGTTTCCTCTTAAAGGACATGATTTTTTTT